TTCCTTCCTTCCTTCCTTCCTTCCTTCCTTCCTTCCTTCCTTCCTTCCTTCCTCTCTCTCTCTCTCTCTTTCCTTTCTTTCTTTCTTTCTTTCTTCCTTTGCCAATAAAAAATTCAAAAAAAGAAAAAAAACTTTGTTTCTTTTCAATGAAGTAATTTTATTTGCATTTCCAAGATTGTGGGTGCTGGGAGGCTTATTTTATAAATTCTCTTCACAAGAATGCTGTACTGTGTTGATCTAGTACAATAGTTTTCAACCTGTGGGTCACAGTCCCTTTGGCAAACCTCTGTGTCCAAAAATATTTACATTATGATTCATAACAGTAGCAAAATTACAGTCATGAAGCAGCAACCAGGCTAATTTTATGGTTAGGAGTCACCACAGCAGGAGGCACTGTGTTAAAGCGTTAGGAAGGTTGAGAGCCTCCGATCTATTACAAAGACCCTACTAGGCTGCCCCTACTTTTGATCTCTAATATGTTATAGCCACCCAGACCAGGGTCAGACATGTGATGATACTTGATAAATTCAAACCAATTATGCGACTGACGGGGAGATGGCAGTTAAGAGGCAGCATGAATCATTTCAAGGCCTTGAGGATCCTGTTGGATGCCTGCATGTTGTACGTGAGCATCCCCTGATTACCATCACCTGAGCCCCTTCAGCTGCTCTCCACTGGCTGCTCCTTTGCCTTGCATTTACTTGTGAGAACTGGCTACATTCAAGCCTGCACCCATCTTGCCTGGTCTGTGGCTATCATGTTTACCTGGTCTACAGCTCTTTCCATCCAGCTCCCTTGTCAGTCCCTTGGATGTCCATGAAAAATAGCTCATGGAGAACAATGAGAGGGGTACTAATGTCACTGGAAACACGAGATAATTACACAAACACATATAATGCATCTCTGGATGACCAGCTCCTACCGAGAAGTGATAAAGAGCTGTTCAGATGCTAGGGATGATAAGTCCCAAAACACATCTGGATAGACAGATAGCTATACATTTGGTAATTAAGTGCTGCTGGTTTTAGTAAGTGCTAAAAACTTAACTCTTTATGCTTAAATAAGTGCTAGGGAAACATAACTCTTTATTACTGTTTTATGCTTAAATACATACTAAATTCTGGGAAATTAACACATGCTGTTTAGTTGCAGGTAAATTAAGTAAAAGGATTTATTATTAGAACGCCTTTCTCTGGCAAGTCAGCCAGGAGCCCCGCCCCTCACTGGAGGGTGATAGGCTCTCAGAGCTCTTTAACTCTTTTTGAACCAGAGAGAAAAGCAAGGAAAGGGAAGGGAAGGGAACGGAAGGGAAGGGAGGGGAGGGGAGGGGAGGGGAGGGGAGGGGAGGAATCACTCACAAAGACCACACACACCAGGTGAAGAGGAAAACAGCTACACCACCTTTCTTTAATACTTTTAGCTATGTATAGTTTTCAGACAAAAAGAATTACCTCATA